GCTGGGCTCCGGCGATCCTTCCGCCTCAGCCTTCCAAGCAGCTGGAACTACAGGCGCGCGCTACCATGCCCGGCGCATTTTTGATTTATTGTAGAGATGAGGTCTCTTCAAGTTGCCCAGGCGGGTCTCAAACTAGTGGGCTCAGGCAATCCACTCACCTCGGCTTCCCCAAGTGCTGGGATTACAGGCTGAGCCACCGAGCCCGGCCCTACTTGTGTTATTTATTTATTTTTATTTTTTTTGAGTTGGAGTTTCACTGCGTGGCTCAGACTGGAGTGCAGTGGCCGCTTCCGGCCACCGTAGCCTCGACCCTCTGGGCTCCGGCGCTCCTTCCGCCTCAGCCTTCCGAGTAGCCAGAATTACAGGCAGGCGCTACCACGCCCAGCTGATTTTTTAAAAATTTTATTGTGGAGATGAGGTCTCGCCAAGTTGCCCAGGCGGGTCTCGAACCCGCGGGCTCAGGCAATCCACTCACCTCAGCCTCCCAAAGCGCGGGATTACAGGCTGGGCCACTGAGCCCAGCTGACTTGTGTTATTTTAAAACACGAAGTTTGTAGTGAAGTGTAAAAGTGGCAGGAAACTCACGAGGCGGCCTTTCTGGGACGCTCCTGGAGCCCCTCGAGGGCACAAAGGTACCCACAGGGCCAGGGAGAGCACCAGGCCGAGTCACCTCCGCCTTCCAGTTGCCCCTGAGGACCTGTCCCTCAACGCCAGGTCCGTCCTGGCTGCCGCGGGGGTGGGGGCCGCAGCAGATCTGGTTAATGGGCTGTGGAACTACCATCCTGGAGGACACTGGGCACCTTTCCCCAACGGTGGCATTACCTGTGTCCACGTAGGGAGCTCTCCCTCTCAAGCTGTGCAACTTGAAGATAACCAATAGCAAAGTATCAGCCAAGGCACGACCCCATTTAGCAAAAACGCACGTGACACAAACGCGGCGCATGGGGCCGTTGGAGAGGGACACCCATTAAAGAGCCAGCAAGGCCGCGGCCTGGGGGCTAAGCGGGGTGCCCGGAGCCCTCCGCGGACTCTGGGGGTGGGAAAGCGGGGCTGAGGCGGCGCCCCTTCCTGGAGGGTGCCGCCCTCCCTGCCGTGCCCACCGTGGACCCCACTCCAGACCAACTCTAATGGGATCACTCTGAGCTGGGGCGGGCCAGAGAGACAGGAGGAGGAGGAGGAGGAGGAGGAGCGGCGGCCCACCGCTCCTCGACTTTCCCGGACGCGCTGGGGCGCAGTGGTAGCCACAGGCGTGTGATGGGGCCGAGGAGAGGGT